ACCAAAAGTCATGAACAAAACAAATACTAAAAAGATAAACCAAAAAGCCACGAGCAACAACAAGTATATTGTAAATAATATTTCTCCCATTTTTTGACAATAGCAAAAGAGAAGAAGAAACGAATAAACATAGAAATGAAAGAAGTCATTTGAGAAGCCTTTGATAATTGATCCTGAAAGATATTAAGTTATAGTTGCAATAAAAAAGATAAATGTCATTAGAGAAAAGGAATAATTCATATGATTTAAATATTGATATAACATAGACAAGAAAAAAAATATCAAGGTCATGAATCAGTGTAGACTATGAGATAAGAAGAATTATTGCAAAGTAGATGGAATGAAAATTTATATACTTAAAATATCAATAAAAAATAAAATTAAACAGGAGATTCATTTGAATTTAAAGATTAAAAGATAGAGAAAAGAATATAAACTTATGGCGCTTTGCGCATCTTTCAATATTTGTGGCACACTTTGTGTATCTTTTTCTATTAGTGGGCTAATTTTGTGCCTTTTTACCAATTTACGAATCATTGCACATTCTTTTGATTTTAATATATTTGTACATTTTTTAAGTTTTAATTGATCCGATAATCTAAAATATCGAATTTCTCTAAGTTCAAATATATTTATATTGAAAAGTAAAATAAAAAATAAGAAAATATCAAACTTGTAATAATAATATTAAATTATGTAAGTCTAACAAAAGACATGAGTTTGATATCCTTAACTTGATCAAATTATAACACAACTTAAATTTTTGAAAAATTAGATTTTCTAATAAAGTTAAAAAAAAATTATTGCATTTCAAAGTATACCGCTTGTTAGATTAATTAGACATGATAATCATATAGGCTAACAAACATTTCTAAAAACATGATAGATAATGTTTTATTAATATCATGATGAATGAAAATACATTAAGCACGATAGATATAAATACACAAAGATTTCAAAAAGACAAAATATAAAAACTTAAAACATAAAGACATAAAAACTAATAACACATCACATCACATCACATCACCATTGGTAGAGAAAATCATAAAAAAGTACAGTCATCATTCTGAGGGTCCCTGATCTAGAGGAGGTACCTGGTTAAAGAAGTTAAAATAGTTAGTCATCATAGCCATATTTAAGCTGATAGAGTTAAATTAACCTCTAATCCAGCCCATGACCTGCTGGTATTATGTGTCCTGTTGCTGTAGATGAGTCTCAATTTGATCAAAGCATCTATCAAAGTGACACTCTAAAATATCAAAGCGATGAACCAACTCATGAAGATTTGGTCCACTACCAGGCGCTAGTGTAGGTCCTCTCTCCTCTCCCTCAGTGTTAGCACCTTCATCATATTTTGCAAAGATAGCTCGAAATAAACCATCATTGTAGTACAAAGGATCTTCAAGATGAGTCACATCATGATGTACTAATTCATACTCCATCTCAAGAATATAAGCCACAAGGTGTCCTAGAGCAATGTTCTTCTTTCTCTTATGGGATACATGACCAATTTCATAAAGCCCATAAAGGTAGTCAGGAATGTGTTGGGCTTCTTCAATGGGCTGACCAGTAATGATATGATAAGTGAAAGTGGAAAGAAGTGGAGTGATATTAATTCTATCACTAGCTTTTAGAATGATTGAAGTTTTAAGCATATGCTGGATGATTCTAGGATCTTGTGTAGAGTGTTTACCTAGGGCAAATGGCATTCAGCTCTCAAACAATCCTCCTTAAGCAAATCACAAAAGGAGGAAGGCAGCTCACTCTCACAAAATAATTCCCACACAAAGTCAGAAATAAGAGCATGATTAGCACAAAAGTCGGCTAATCTATTACAGTTGCGGTTAACCCAATGAAAAACCACATTATTTTCCTTATTAAGAAATGAAGAATCTTCAAGATCCAATCCCCAATCAGATTTCTTTGGTATACTGAGCAGCTTGTGAAGAAATTCTATGACATTTTTATTGTCTCCTTCAACTATAATTCCACCAATATTATTAAATCTGTCACTTATAATTCCTGTAATTGCTGAAGCCGCCGACAGCTCCAACTGGGCAATGTCCCAATGTGTTTTCTTTATCCAAATACAAGAAGAAGCCTTCCCTTGTAATCTCTAGCAATCCCACCAATACCTGCCTGATAGTTGCCTTTAAGTGAAGCATCAAAGATAATTTCGATCCAATCGGGGGGAGGAGGTTGCCATTCACTAGAAGACAGTCCTCGGGACTGATAGACAACCCAGTTCTTCAATCGGTCAGAATTCTGTTTATCCATGCCAACAAAGTTGAGTCTTGAAGTGGCTAAGAAAACCTCACTCACATCCGGATCCCCATGTTTAAACTTATTTCTATGATTCCACACAAGCCAAATAACAGTAAAGTACAGTTTGATCATAATCCCGGTATCATTTTTCAATTTCTGAAGACTGGTCCAGCAATCCTCCCAATCATTAAAAACAGGAACCTGGAATCCCCAACCTCTCAGCACATTCAAAACTTTCAAGATTTTACAACCATTAGTTACAATGTGATTGATATCCTCCTCTCTACCACAACCCCAAGGACAATCAGAATCAACAGCAATTTTCCTCCTTAATAAAAAGGCATTTGAGGGAAGAGCTTCTGAAACTAACCTCCAAATAAACACCTCCACTCTTGCATTTAATCCCAATTTATAAATCCATCTTAATGCCAACCTTTCATTCATATTCTGGAAGTTGTCTTGCATAATTGTTGCTGATAGGGACTTACCAGTCAACTTATGCTTTAGCTTCATACCATCCTCATGCCTACTATCACCAATTTTGACTTCACAAATGATATCCACCAGATCTTCCCCGAAGAACCTGTCCAGTTCCCTTCGGTCCCAGCAGCCATTTGAAATGAAACCATCCAGTGAGGCATCATCATCTTCAAATTGTCCAACAAACGTTGGCCATTTGAGCAAAGGTTTATCTAAAATCCATGTGTCTTTAAGAACTTTTATATTGCATCCATTGCCAATTTTCCATCTAACATGGTCTTTGAGTGCCTTCCAACCAGAAATCATAATCTTCCATGTCGAAGAGCTACTCCTGTTCAGCCCATAGCTCCACCACATAGCTCCATACTTTGACACAAGATGTCTGCTCAATAAAGACTCATGATTGTCAATTAGTTTCCAAGCAATCTTTGCTCTCATAGCATCCTTTCTCTCAACCACAGACTGTACACCCCAGCCCCCAACATGCTTCGGTTTACATAGTTGCTCCCAAGCAACATAATGAATGCCCCTATTACCATCAGCTTTGTTCCAAATGAAGTCCCTAAAAATTTTCTCAAATTCCACCAGAATTTTCATTGGAATAAGTGAATGAGTCATAGTAAACAAGGGAATGGAAAGGGCAACTCATTTAATAAGAACCAGTCTACCAGCTATGGAAATAAATTTATTCCCCCAAGCATTTATTCTTTTACTGGCTTTATCCAATATTACATGAAAATCCTCCTTTCTAAGACGTTTCAATGCCAATTTGATGCCCAAGTAATCAAATTCATTGACCAATTTAATACCCATAAACTTGGAAATCTTAGCCTTCCTCCTCTCCACCGAGCCACTACAAACCAATGACGATTTGTGTTAGTTTATGTTTTGACCCGTCCAATTACAGTAGTCCCTCATCGTTTCTCTAACCTTCTTCATGACATTCCATTTTACTTCAAGAAATAGTAAAATATCATCTGCAAAAAGTAGATGAGAAATCTTATGGGCATTAGAAGAGATCCATATACCCATGTCAGAGTTCCTGTTATTAAAGGCTTTCGAAAGTAACTGGGAACAGATAATAAAGAGAAATGGTGATAGAGGGCATCCCTGACAAAAGCCACTCTTCCCCTCAATCCAGCTGGAATTTTCCCCATTGATCATGAAAGAATACCTTGGGGTAGTAACACATTCCAACACTAAATGCACAAATCTAGAAGGGAAGCCCAACTCAAGCATCATTTTTTTCCAAGGTAGTCCAGCACATACTATCATATGCTTGCTCCATGTCCACCTTAATAGCCAAGAAGCCTCTACAAGCCTTTGAAATTCTCATTTTGTTGAAGAACTCCTGAGCCAAAAGAATGTGATCAGAGATAGCTCTTCCTCTCACAAAAGCCGCCTGCTCCTCTGAAATGATCTTTGGTATGCACCCCATCATTCTATTCAATAAGACTTTAGCCATAATTTTGTAGATCGAATTGCAAAGGCTTATAGGTCTATAAGCCGACGGAGTAATGGGATTTGAAGATTTGGGAATGAGCACAATAAGGGTATCTTTCCAATCTCTGTTCATCCACCCAGTAACAAAAAATTGCTTCACTGCATTCACCACGTCGATGCGAATAGTATTCCAAAAGGCTTTGAAAAAAGAATGGGTAATTCCATCACACCCCGGCGATTTATTGCTGCCCAAATTGATTCTGACCTCCTTAATCTCTGCCTCTTTCAGTTATTTCATCAGCATTTCACTCTCACGGTCATCTAAAATTTTCCTCTGTTCTGGCCAACCCGCAAGACTGAAATTCTTGTGCTTCCATTTATCCAGAAAATAACACCTGAAGACCTCCTCAATTTCTTTTCTACCTTCAATTATTACCCCATTACGATCTTTAACTTGGAAAATCCTATTAGCCTTCCTTCTAGAATTGGCAAAAGACTGAAAAAACTTTGTATTGTCATCACCTTCATTTATCCATTTAGCTTTAGCCCTTTGTCTCCACCAAATGTTAAGATTATTAAGAACCAAATTAAGTTCTTTAACCTTAGCTTTGAGTAACCAAAGTGTCTCCTCAGTCAACCATCCAAGTTCGGCTTCTTCTTCTTGTAACTTCACAATATCAGCTTTAAGTGAATCTTTCTCCAAATTAAAATCTTTCAACCTGTTTTTGCTCCAGTAAAATAAGTCCTTTAAGGCTCTTTTGCATTTTTTGTTGAGAATCTCCAATATCATCTCCCAAGAACGTCTTCCTCTATCTGTTAGTTACTATGTGCTCAGCTTCTCTAAATGAAAGCCAAGTGTCTTCAAACTTGAACCCACTTCTACCTTTACACGTCGTATCAAACATCTTCAAAGCAATTGGGCAATGGTCCGATGCAACTCTAGCAAGATGCCTAACCATAGTAATTTGAATTTTGTTAATAGCCAAGGAGTTAAGCAAACACCTATGAAGCCTCTCCAGAATCCTATCTCCTCCTTTCTTATTGTTGCACCAAGTGAATCTTGGTCCAACAAACCCAGCTTCATGAAAGTCATTCTCATTCATAAATTTAACCATCTCAAGGGAACCTTGATTGAATCTGAACCTCCTTCCTCCCTTCTTGTCTTCTTTAGCCAATATGCAATTGAAATTCCCTCCAATAATAGAAGGAATACTACTGTGATCAACTTCCTGTATCAGATTCCAAAGACCCCTTCTATTCACGGTCTCTTTACTAGCATACACCATAGTGATCATCCACACTCCTCTATTGAAGACATTGAGTTCACCGATAACACATTGTTCAGAGGTCTTTACAATAGAAAAATATGCCAAATCTGATCTCTGCATCACCATAATACCACCAGAGAGCCCAGCAGATGGAAGCAAAAAAAAGTCCCAATCCTGTCCCATCATTCTTATAAACGATTCCTTCTCCATAGTAGTTATTTTAGTTTCAATCAATCCTACAATGAAAACTTTATGATCCTTAATAATCTTCTTTAAATAAAGAGAGGCCTCCCTCTTCTTGGCCCCCCTACAGTTCCAAAAGATGATAGAGTTCATTAAGTACCTCTGGGGGAAGAGCCCCCGCCTTTTTTCTTCATCCCCCTTCCACATTCCTTCCTCTAGAGCTTCTCTTTATGGGTCCCAAGGCTCTAAGTTCTTTAGCTAGCTTAAACTAGCCCATATCTCCACTGGACGTTGTCATCTACTAACCCAACCTGACAACCAACAATTGGATACTTCTTGTCACTGCTAGCATTCACATCTCCTCTATTCAAGATTTTAAGGTTGTCGACTCCTGATCCTTCCTCCTCCATTCTATTCAACACCTCAAATTTATTCTCATTGACAGTAAACATAAGATTAGAATGCAGTAACATACCATCACTTACAAGAGGATTAATGAGGGACTCAACAATCTTCGGAGCAGAACCATCCATTCGGCCAGCGTCCTCCCCTATAGCAACCTCAGGCTGAGCATCAGTAATAGGAATCTCCCCTTCTTCAAGTTGATCCAATACAGCAACTTCAGTCATATCCTTAGCAGAGTCATTATCTTGAATGCCAGATCCATCCATTGCCTTTTGAACACCATTCAACCTCAGCCGTTGTTTTTTAACTGGTCTCACATTCTCCTTCATTCCAAATGGTCTTCTATTAATTTTCTTCTTAACCACAATCCATGGGCCATATGCTTGATCAGTAGTCTCTTCTTGAGCTATTTTTTCCATATTGGCTTCTCTGTATTCATTCTCATGCTGCTTCATATCAGAAATCCCGTTAGCTTTCAAGTTGCAATCCTTTATAAGATGCCCCAACTTTCCACAACCATAGCAAAGGGTTGATATCTTTTCATACTCAAATTTCTGGAAAAACTTTCCCGAAATGCTATCAACCCATACTCCAAGTGGAAGACACTGATCCAGCTTCACCCTCACACAAACTCTAGCAAATTCTCTTTTCCCCCATTGGAACATGTTGCCATCCATCATAAACGGTTTCCCAATGGCTGAAGCAATACGAGCAACATTCACTTCATCCCAACACTGTAAGGGTAGGTGGGGCATTCAGATCCATATCGGAGATGTTAGGCCCTTTAATGAGAGAGTAGAGAATTCCACAGACCATTTCTCCATCCCCACAATAAAGCCATTGACAAACCACGGACCTCCTGATAGCACTCCTTCCATCATCTCATTAGATTCAAAGGAGCAAAGAAACCAGCCTTTCCCTAATGTTGTAAAGTGAAAATTCCCAAATGATTTCCACTGTCTCCTTATATCCCACGCCACAACATTAGGTGGGACTTCCTTCCCAAACACCTTAATAACCAAGGAGTTCCTTAGCTTGTGAGAGTTGGAAATCTCTCTTTACTCCACCATTGTCACTGATTTGCCGTCTTCCAAGAAGACCTTACCCTCCTCTTGAAAGTTTAACATGATATATGGTTTCTTTTTCCACGGGTTCCCATTCATCCCCTCCCGTTTTTTCATAGGATTTTCATCAGCCATCTTAGTTGTGTCCCTATTGGACTCCAAAGCAGAACTTGAAAATATTGTAACATCAATATTTTCATGATCACCATTATGTGCAACGCCGTTTCTATCATTGCTACTGTTTCTTTTGATTGAAGACGCCCCAGGAACATAAGTGTCCTGAATAGCAGCCTTCTTTCCTGAATCAAGCGAGAGCCCTCCATCTTCTTCACAAATCTCCTTGCCTTTACCATCAACAAACGAAACCTTCTTGATCGATTCCATACAGATCTCTTTAATCACCAATAGACCTGACGTCCTACCGCAAGCACCGCCTACAGGTTTCTTGCGCAGGATTCCACCCATATCTTGATCACCTGAAACCCCAACCTCGGCCCTTCCCCTACTCAAATCTGTAGAGGAGCGACGACCAATAATCTCCTTTACCAAAGCTGTACCTTCTCCTACCGCCAACGCAGGCCGACGGCCGTCCATCGATCTCACTGGAGCCAATTCCACAAAAAACGGAAGAGCCCGGGAAAGAAAATTTTGAAAATGAGCGCAATCTCTCTCTAGAAATTCCGGAGCTTCTCTCTCTAGAAAAATTCCGGAGCTCTCCCTAATGGGTTAACAATTTGCTCTTTCAAAATACCATATTCCTCAAATACAACATATGTGCTCTCTTTAATTATCAAAGTTCTTTTATTGAATACTCTATAAGATTTTTCAATACTAGAGTATCCTAAAAAAATTCTTTCATATAATTTTGGATCAAACATTACTAAGGCATATTTTCTATTGTTATGTATGAACACCTTATATCCAAAGACATGCAAATGTGACAAATTAGGTATTCTTCCCTTAAGTAACTAATAGGGTGTTTTTTTCAAACTCGATCTGATGTTCACCCTATTCAGAACATAACATGCCGTGCTAACCATTTCAACCCAAAAACATTTAAGAAGAGAATATTCTGCCAACATGGCTCGAGAGGTTTCTATTAATGTTCTATTTTTCCTTTCGACTACCCCATTCTACTGAGGGGTTTTTGGTGCAAAAAAATTATGATCAATTCCTTTCTCCTTACAAAAATCCTCAAATTTTTTATTTTTAAATTCTCCTCCATGATCACTTTGAATTGTCAAAATCTCACATCCTAGTTTTCTCTGAATCCAAGTAGAAAAATTTCTAAACTCCTTAAATAATTCACTCTTATAATATAGAAATCTAAACCATATGAATCTAGAGAAATCATTCACAATCACAAATCCGTATACCATCCCTCCTAGAATTATAGTTCCTACTGGTCCAAAAAGGTCCATATGTAAAATCTCTATTGGTTTACAAGTTCTAAGATCTTTATTGGACTGAAAAGAGGATTTCACCTATTTTCCTAATTGACATGCATCACAAAGGTGATCCTTAGTAAATTCTAGTTTTGTATACCTCTCACTAAGTTCTTTTGGGTAATCCTCCTAAGGTTTTTCATGCTAGAGTGACAAAGTCTCCTACGTCTTAGCCATAACTCATCAGAAATAGTTTTTAAACAAAAAGCAGCAGGAGTTTTGATACAATTCAAATCTAGCATATAAACATTATTTACCCATATACCATGCAAAACATCACATAGCTTAATCTACAGCTAGTAGGAAAAACTTTAACACAATATCCTTTATCACATAATTGACTAATACTAAGAAGATTATGCTTTAAGCCTTTTACTAATAGAACATTTTCAGTAAAAAAAATTTTTGAAGTTCCTTATATATCTGATCCTATCACCTTTGTTGTGGTGTTATCTCCAAGTGTAACCCTACCTCCACTCCTAGCCTTCAGCGATATGAATTATACAGTATCTCCAATCATATATTTTGAACAACCGCTATCCAGGTACCATATGCTCTCACGAGACTTTGTGTGAGAGCTCTCCTACAAAATTATCAAACGTTAAACTTGAGAACCCAAACAAGTTTGGGTTCACCTCTTATCAAATTATAAAATAAATGCATGTATGTTATGTTTAGGTTTATGCATCTTAGGCTTCCACACCAAATAAGTTTTTCTATCCAAAATACAGGTGTGTTCTATGTGTCCAAACATGGCACAATTAAAACATTTAACTCTGAGAAATAGATTTCTCAATCTTTTATAATTGTTCTATTTTCTACTGAGTTTTAAAAATTTTGGACATAAAATAGGATTTGTAAAATCTTCAAGTGTTGGGGATTTTCTATTTTTCTCAAGAGCTTTAACTTCTAATTTTAGAAATGCATTTGCATCTTCCAATACATGATTGGTATGCTCTAATCGATATTCTTTTCTGTCTGATTAATCCTTAAGATCCTTAAACTCCTTTTCCAATTTTGTATAGGATGATTTTAAATTTTCATGGGTCATATTCAAATCATCGAGCTCATCAAATAATTTCATTTGGTTGTTACCAATTAATGCATGATTTATCCTAAGGATTTCTTGTTCTCTTTACATTTCTTGTAACTCTAAGATTAGACTGGCATGAATTTTCTTTAATTTCCTATATGCATCAAGTACGCATTCAGAGACTTCTAAAAGTTTATTGTAAGTCAAGTCACATAACTCTTCTTGATCTAACTGATCAAGATTATCAACCATCAAGCACAGATTGGTGACTTCCTCTTCCTTTTTAGTCTCTAACCAGTCTGAAGCTGTGTCTGCCCAGAAAGCTCTTTGGAATTTCTTCTTGCCCTTCTTCACAATTAGTTTTTCCTCTACCTTCTCCTTGCCAGGTGTGGCTTTGATTTTGGGCAGTCTGATTTAATGTGTCCAAGTTTCCTTCACTCATAGCAAATTACATCATTTAAAACCTTAACATTCCTATTGAACTTATCTCGATTCCATTGTTGGCATTCCTTTTGCTTCCTCTTCAAAAAGCTTTTGAACTATCTTTTCATCAATTTGATGTCATCCTAATCCTTAGGTTGTGATAGATCACTCTTCGACTCCACCACTTTCAGTACTATATTCTTTTTCCTTCATGGTTCACCTGCATTAATCTTTCTTTGACTCACTCCTTACTCGTAAGAAATTAGTGATCCAAAAAGATTGTCAATTGAGTAAACATTTAAGTCTTTAGACTCTATAATTGCAGTTATTTTTGCATCATAAGTAGTATGCAAACAACAAAGAATCTTATTAATCATTTCAGCATTTGTTAGTTCCCTACTCAATGCATGTAAAGAGGTGACTAGTTGTGCGAATCTTGTGTACATGTTAGAAATGGATTCATTGGGTTTCATGCAAAATAATTCATAGTCATGCAACAAGATATTAAGTCTGGATTATTTAACTTCATTAGTTCATATATTATACAAAGTCTATCTCGTATGTCATTTCCACTTTTGCAAGTGGAAACCCATATGTAATCTTCAGATTTAAGAGCACAAAAGAAACTGTTCAAACATTTAGCGTTAAGTTGTGCTA